CAGCACACAGGTTCAGGTATGTTGACGACACCTGGGTTAAAATTAAATCTCAGGAAGTCCAACATTTTACTGACCACATCAACTCTGTGGATAAATACATCAAGTTTACACGAGAAGATGAAAAAAATGGCAAGTTGGCTTTCTTGGACTGTGAGGTCTCAGTCTCTGATAGAGGACATTTGCAAACCGAGGTGTACCGCAAACCCACCCACACAGACCAGTATTTGCAATTTGACTCCCATCACCGTTTGGAGCACAAGTTAGGAGTCATCAGGACTCTGTACCACAGAGCAGACAGCGTCCCCACTAACTCAGGAGCCAGGCAGAAGGAGAAATCCCACACAAGACAGGCTCTAGAGCAATGTGGATATCCTAACTGGGCCTTCCTGAAAGCAGAGAAGAAACCCAAACAGGACTCCAGTCAGCCATCAGGTGAAAAGGAGGAACCCAGACCCAGACCAGTGGTCATTCCGTATGTTGAGGGGGTATCAGAGAAACTGAGACGTTTATTTTCTAAACATAGCGTCCCAGTGGCTTTTAAACCCCAAAATACATTACGGCAAAGACTGGTTCATCCCAAAGATCCAGTCCCCCGGCACAAACAGAGCAATGTTGTGTATGCTGTTCAGTGTCAGGAGGGCTGTGATCAGTCTTACATCAGGGAAACTAAACAGCCACTGGCCAAAAGGATGGCCCAGCACAGAAGATCAACATTATCAGGCCAGGACTCTGCGGTCTACACTCATCTCCAGGCCAGCGGTCACTCTTTCAGGGATGAAGATGTTCACATCCTGGATAGAGAGGAACGATGGTTTGAGAGAGGAGTAAAGGAGGCCATCTTTGTGAAAAGAAATCGTCCATCATTAAACAGGGGTGGAGGCCTCCGGGTTCAACTGTCCCCCTCTTACAATGCTGTGATTGCTAGTATCACTCAGCCCTCTGTGAACAGTAAACAGCCATCAGGGTGCTAATGATCCATTGTTAGGGTGATGGTCCTTCTTGAGCATGTGATCAGCTGGTTTTGGTTGTCAGCAGCAAAACTGGTTGATCCACTCTGAGAAGGTGCTATTTAAGAGACTGAGCTGAATACAGCACCTCAGACTGAGGAAGTCTCTCGGATGAGAGACGAAACATTTCTACGTTTTTTTTTGTTTGTTTGTTTGTTTTTTTTGTTGAATGTCCAGAGGACCAGATTTAACTTTTTTGGATTTTTCTACCTGGATTATTGAGCATGCATCAGGATACTTTGGGTTTGTTTCAGATGTAATGGACATGGGGATAAAAAACAAAGAAGATAACAAAGCAGAAAAGTGAGAGAAGGGTTAAAAGGTAAAGAAGGAGATAGGAATAGAGGAGAGAGAGAGAGAGAGGTATAAAGAGAACACAAATCAACATCATTGAAGTCTGCCTCTAGACCTGTGGAAAGAAAAAACAAACAAAAACAAGACAGCACCGAGAAACCACAACAACAAACAACATATATAATAATACTTATAACATCATTAGAAAGTATTTTATACAGTACATGGTAATACAAGATCTATTTAGTGGTCTCCACAACCCAACTGAGTGTGTATCTGATAAACACCTGAATCTAAACACCTGTGTGAGCATGCTTGTAAGGTTTCTCCATAAAAATGTTCAATAGTGGATGTGGGAACCCACAGACCCGTCCCCACAGGACACGATGGTAACACGGGGAAGACCGGAGCCACAGACACACAGCGGTCCCCAAGCCTGGAGTTCCAGGAGTCCACCAACAGGGACACCCGCACCCCACAGAGAGAGAAGCAAAGGGAAGCCCCGGGCGACCCCCAGCAACAACAATGCTGAAACCCTAGGAGGCTGCAGCGACGAGTCCACAGGCCCCGCCGGCAATCCACCCCTCCAGAGTAGATCCGGCCATGGACACCAAGTCCCGAGGTCATAGCACCCCCCAACAGAGGCCCGACAGAGCCAGGGCACCCAGGCCCCGGCAGGCAGCCACCAGGGTGGGCCTGCACACATCCCACCACCCAGCCCCAGCTGCTGAGAGCCGCCAATGCACCAGCGGCAGGGGGGCCCACCACTGGAGGGGAGCACGACGGAGAAGTAGACCCCACATTAAATGGGGGGCCCAAATTGATCCAAGAGAGGGGACCACCTAAAACCCAACCCGAGACATGAACAGGCACACAGAGACAGCTCTGTTGGGCCGTCCATGTGCCCCCAACAGCAACCGCAAGTCGGCCCCAGGCCGGGGGCCAGAGCAGCATGGAGCAGCAGCTGAGGAAGGCTGGCCCAGCACACCAATGATCAGGCACCCCAACAGCCCCACACCACAGGCCCAGAGATGTCCCGGTATGCCACCTATGTACCCCCCCCACCCCCACCCCCCACCGCGAATGTCACATCAGGCCGACCAGCCAGCACCTCGTCATAGCAAAGCCACGCCCCCGACCGCCGCCATACACAACCAACGACCACACACAACTACAGCTGACCCCCCCCCCACCGGAACCCGGCAGCCACCCCAGCCAAAGGGCCGGCCATTGCAACCAGTAACCCTGATCAAAAGATCTGAACAACCCAGGGAGAACTGGAGCACCTGCCCCATCCCCAATCGCCTCCCAAGGTCCAACACCCACCCACAGCCCAGACCCCAACCAGGCAGCCTACCCAGCCTATAAATCAATAAAAATACTGCCTCTGTTCTTCTGTACAGTGTAACTCATACCCACTTACATATCTTGCATGAAAAACACTAAGGTTTACTTTCATTCCCTATTCATTTCTAGTCCAGAAAAACACTCATGTCAGCAACTACAAACATTTACTATTCAACCCCTCAGCGACGAGGACGTCGGCGTACCGCTTGTTACCTTTGTGTTTAATATGAGACAACACCTTCAAGAAGTTTGACAGTGTCGAGGTTTAGACGAACATCGTGTCTGATGTACGTTTGTTAGGTGATAACAGCAACGGCTCGTCCCTGAATAGACACTTTACCGTCTTTGAAACGAGCTCGACAGGAGCTCAGTTTAAAGCAGTTTCTGGTTAATGAGTGGAAACTTCTCATTCCAGCTGATAAAACTTCACACAGAATCCTATTAGGGAGTGGACCCAGCAACACCCTCACTTATATTTGGACTTTTGAGGAAATGGCAGCAGCATTATGACCTGAAGCTGCTGGGTTCTCATGGTTTTCTGCACAGTCAGCACAAACTGAAGCTTAAACACCTCATGCTGATCGAATCACAAACATGTTCAACCATGAGAAGTCAGATACAGCTTTCACTGCTTCTGTGCTGAGTTTTCAACTGAAATCCTCTTATGATGAGAAAGTTATTGTCATTTGGTCAAAATCTGTCAATAATATTTTTACTGTACTGCAGTACTTTTCATTGGCTTCATTGAAATCCATGGTATATTTTGCTAACAGACAAGCATTGATGCCAGCAGTAACAATAAAGGTTTAAGTAATAATGTTGCACAATGTGCACCGCTCAACGTTTATGTTGGGGATGATGCTCAACGACCACACCAACATTTAAGTCCCTCTGTAAAGCTGGCGGAGCTACAACCATTGTGTTGGTTAAAGTCAATTGGCTGTGACAGCCATCTTGAACTGGGTTAACTACAAAATATAATCAGCTGTACTTATATAAGCGAGGATTCTTTTTTTGAAAGTTTTATTAAAATCGATCGTAAACTGAATTTTATGTTAATGGATGTGGAGTCCCTCAAGGCTCTGTGTTGGGACCAAAGTTGTTTATTTTGTATGTGAATGATTTGGTTGATGTGTCAGGGCTTTTCAAGTGTGTTTTATTTGCAGATGATACCACTTTTTTTTGTTCGGGTGAAGGTATTGAATGGATGTTAGAGATGCTACAGGCAGAATTCATGATATTTAGTAATAGAAAGAAAATTATCGAAGTCCAATTTAATATTGACAGTATTGAAATTCATAGAGTTAATGAAATAAAAAAATTTGGGTGTCGTTACTGATGAGAATCTGACATGGAAATCTCATGTAAATGACTTAAGAATAAAAACGGCAACATCAATTGCATTACTGTATAAAGTAAAAGAGTTTTTGAATGACAAAGCTTTGTATATATTGTATAATATAATGATTGTTCCACATTTAATCAACTGTATTGAAGTTTGGGGAAAAGCAAAACAATGACAAACCCTATTTTCATTTTACAAAAAAAAGCTATAAGAATTATTAGCAGGAAGTGCTATGGTCATCCAACAAATATATTATTTCATCAATTAAAAAGATGTAAATTTTATGATTTGGTTGAATATAGTATTTTACAAGTCATGTATAAAGCTAAAAAAATATTACCCCCAAATATTCAATAAAAATTTGTTAAAAAAAGAGTCATCATAACCTTAAGGGAATGTAAATGTTTGTAAAACCTCCATTTAGAACGAGTCTGAAGGAGCTGTGTTGTAATTCAGGAAATAGGATTATGGAATTATCTTGATATCACCATAAACATTTCTAAAACAATTTATGTTTAAAAAGATGATTAAGTTAAAATTGTTGGGAAAGTGATACCATGTGAAGAATGCCTGATGTTTTATGTTTTCACTTTGGAGATTGTTCAATCCTGAGTTGTTTGGTTATTTTATATTTTTTTAAAATAAGGGGCAGATATAAGAATTTTCTTCTTCTTTCTGCACGCTTTTCATTCAGTTTTTTTTTTATTTTTGATGCATTTGTTTTGTTTCTTTTAAATGAATGAACAAATGAAAAAAAATCTAATCAGTGGTCCAGAAGATATTTTGCTAACAGACAGCCAAAGACTGGCAAAAACGTTAAAACCCTCAGCTTTGGCAGCAGGTGACACAAATATATTGTTTTATGTACTGTATGTCTTCTCATAGGATTATCAAACATTAATGTCACAATAAACCTATTGCAAGGTGCAGTTTATGCATAATTTAATAACCAAACTCTAAATGTCTTTTAAACATTTTATTTGAGCCTAAAACTCTCAGGACTGAATCTACTCTTGGTCTTTCTCCTCTCCGTGTGTTATGATGTGGACCAGGTTCTTGTAGTCCAGGTTTCCTGCCACATCTGGAGGGAAAGCAACAAACATCTGTTCCATCTGTGGGCATGAAGAAGAAGAAAAAACATTTATGTCCATCTCTGAAACCAAAGCTAACGTGACATTTGTCAGCGTGGAGCTCAGACCTCTTCAGGAGAGAATCTGTCAGCCTGAGTCGTCAGCATCTCCGTCACGCTGTAAAGACAGGAAGTGAGCGTCAACAGAGCAGGAAGACTTTCTGCCAGATGTTTTAAAACTGGACCATCACTCACAACTCTTTCTTTAATATCCCCGTTCCTTCAGGGTCGAACACTTTGAAAGCATTGAGGATGGTCTCCTCTGGGTCGGCACCTGATGAAAAGTCACATCAAGATATTTTTTAACAATTTATGTTTTAGGTTTTAATTTATGCAGAAAAAGAACGCCCTCCTCTTTCAGTTCCAAGGTTTTGTGATTCAGAACATAATCTGAAATCTTTCTAACAAGAAGTGAAGAAACACACAACAGATTTCTCTCTGTCGTTAGTTATTGAACAGAGTTTTCCATCAGGTGAAGGTCTGGACTTTGGTCCGCTGCAGCTCCTTCATTCTTTTCTCTGTCAGTGGTTCTGTTCTAGGCTAGCTGCTGTGTTTGGACCATGGTTCTGGCTGTCAGACAGATGTTCTCACATCTGACTCCTTTGGTCTACAGAGGAGTTCAAGGTCAACTCAATGACTGCGGAACGAGCCCAGATCATCACCACTCCACCACCGTGCTAACAGCTTGTATGAGGTGTTTGCTTTGCATTATGGGTAAACATCTGTACTTTGGTCCCATCTGTCCAGACGGCGTTGTTCCAGGAGTTTTACGTTTCATTCTGATGCAGCTTTACAAACCTGAGCTGCGCTGCCATGTTCTCCTACAACCCTTCAAACCACACGTTTGTTCTGTCTCTTTCTAACTGTCCTGTCATGACCTTTAACCTTTAGGCCAGAGGTATTCAATTAAAACTCACTGAGGTCCAGTTACTAACATTTCCTCCTAATAAAAGCTCTGAACGGAAGTTCAACGTTTGACTTTTATGGTCTTGCCTATCTGTATTCACATTTTCACAGTTAACAAACTTTATATAAACAACTAGCTCTTTTACCATCATTAAAAGTAATCCCAGGCAAATAAATTCAGGGATTTTATTTCAGATTAAAACAGAAAGCTCAGAATAAAATACATCTTAAATGTGCAAACAGAGCTCAATAAGCCTTTGTCTCTTAAACTGAAGAGGTCAGAGAATTGAAGGCTTACACTTAAAGTAAAATAGTTAACATCTTTAGAAAACAGTTAATCTAAACTGTCTATTGCTGGAAAAATGCTCCATGGAAATGATCTATTTTCATGAGTTTATCGGCTTGGGCACGGGTCTGGACAGAACCATCACTTGGTCCAGATCTGGACCGAGGTCCGCCTATTAGTGATCTCTGGTTTAATCTGATAACTGAGGCCTGCTGTCTGACATACAGAGCTCTTCAGGTTTTTAATCTGAGTTTTATTGCAGAGTCTGACCTTGGGGTGAATTTGATGAGACATTCACTCTTGAATATTGGCAGCTGTCCTAAATGTTTTCCACTTGTGAATAAATTCTTTCTCTCTGTAGAACTATGGACTCCAAAGTGTTTAAATTGACCTTTAACCCTCCCCAGACTGATGGGAAGCAACAGCTGCTTCTCTTAGACCATTGTTGTTGACTTTCCACCTTGACATTGGGTACGCTCCAGAGCAGCAGACTGATGAAACATCTGTATTTATAGAGGGGATGATGATCAGCAGCATCTGGCTCACACTGAACCTCTGAGGTCCAGCGAAGCAGTAAGGCTGCACATTAATTCACATTCAAGCTTTTTTTTAATTTAATAATAAAAACATGGTGGAAACTGTTGTGTGTTTTTCTTCACTTGAGTTTAGATTTAAATAATTTCAGAACTCGGTAAAGACGAGATTTTTTAAATTAGAATCGTGTTCTGATACAGAAAGCCCTAGAACTGAAAGGAGGACGTTCTTCATTCCATGCCTGCATCCATAATGATCTGTGATGTAACATCCTGGATCACCTTTTAGTTTCTCTCCAAACATGGTGAGAAAGACGGTAAAATTGATCGGGCCGGGGGCCTCCTTCAGCATCTCGTCAATCTCTTCCTGTTTGACATTTAATCGGCCTGGAGAAGGATGAGGGTTCAGGTGAAGTTTAGGGCACTGACTAACGATTTGTTTCACCATTATTTAATCCCATCACTTTTTTAATTACTTGATAAACGATCCATGGACCAGGAGTCGGACAGTAAAGGCTGATCATGTGAAAATATCACTGTAGGACAACAAAGACAAAGAATGAGCTGACCTAAAGCTGCGAAGGTGTCCCTCAGGTCGTTCTTGTCGATGAAGCCGTCTCTGTTTTGATCCATGATGGTGAAAGCCTGCAGAACATTTACCGTTACAGGTTATCAAAGCAAACAACGAGGCGACCACATCTGTCAGAAGGCTCACTTCTTTAAACTCCTGGATCTGGGCCTGCTCGAACATGGAGAACACGTTGGAGCTGGCGCCCTCTGCTCTCTTCTTGGCTTTCTTGGGAGACTGTGGAGTTTGATAGATTAGGATTAAAACTAAGAACCTCATCATCACCCGACGGTCTGATTCTGCGTCACTTGTGTGTTTTAACACACGTATCCCTCAGTGAGGACAAGCTGAAGAGCGTGGGGTTGTTTAGTGCTTACAATGGAGCGTGCGTTACATGAGGCAGGATTCTTTCCCTGGAGCTTCCAGTTCTGTTTAGGGAGGGTGGGGTCTGCTGCCTGCACGCCGATAGTCCCAAGATCACATGGGAGGATTACTCCATTGGGTCTGGATAAGGACAGGATGGTACCCGGAGCCTCGCTTGATCAGAAAACCCTCAGAGGGACGGATTATGTTGAGTTATTTACACGTCTGCCAACGAGCGGTGAAAAATAGCGTGAGGGGATGCAGCGTGATGACATCATGTTGGCTCCCCGGGCCTCTCGACAGCTGCTGTCTCAAGCCTCGCTGTGGATTAGTTCTGGATGTCTCTCAGACGGGACCTCAGGAACCCAAAATGACTAATTCCATTTTTTGTGCTTTGTTAAGAAGATTAATTTGTACTCTCATAGAGAAGTGGTACAGCATGATGTTTGGAGCAACAGGAGCATTACTGGTGATAAGAGGGGAATAATGCTTTATGACTCATTCAGCTTCCACCTGTTGCTCCTTTGTTTTGTCTTTACATCTACGTTGTCTTCTCTCCTCCGTGTTCCTCCATGTTCCCCTTCTGCTTCATCATTTCACTCCTCTCTTCTTCTCGTTGACTCCTTTCCTTTGCTGCTTCATTTCTATTCTCTCCTCCATCTCTTTTCTTGTGCCTCCTCCTTTCTTGTTCCCTCCTTAAGCACGCGCATGCACAGGATACAATTTATTGTATCCATCCTGCCTCACCTCCTATTATACTTTTAAAAATGTCCTGTCTGTGAGTAGTCGACACAAAGAATCAATAAATCCTCAGTGGGATAACTGGAAAACCGTTCTATTGATTATTTAAAATAAAAAAACTTTATTAGGTTGCTATGAGATTATTGACAAGTAGCACATTGATTAATTATCAGGGCTGTGAGTGGAGCTACATGTATAAATAGCATGAATCGATCCACTGTACAAACAGAGAGTTCAGGTATTAACAGGTAGAAGAAGCGCGTCCACTCACCATGCTGCAGCTGAAGCTGGAGGAGGACCGAGCTGTGCCGTTTCTGCTTCATGATGGAGCAGGGCTAGATATACTGACCCCTCTCTCCTCTCATGCCTAATGGCGCATGCACTATAAATACTCCATGCCTTCTTTAGGCAAAGACGCAGGTAAAGAGGGCTATTCTCTCCCTGCCACCGGCCACCATTGTCTGAGTTCATGAGATTTAGGGATAATAGCCAAACGTGCATACCCCCATTACTGAGGCCCAAGAATAACAGCAGGACATAGCTCTGGCTCGGGAAGGACAGTTGTGTTTGTGAGTGACAGCCGCACTTGATGGGATTCATCATCCAGCTGTCCTGTTAGTGCTCCGTGGGGGTCGAGGCCCTGCTCTGGTGGGAGCTGGTTCCCGGTAGCGCAGTAAACAGAACTGATGACGGGCTCATAAACAGCATGACCCGCTGTGGAAAACGTTTGCAGGACACAATGATGTTTAGCATTGTGTCCTGCTGTTTGAAAAAGAAAAGTGAAGGCACATTGCGTGTTAATGTCCAAACATTCTGTCACAGCCAGACGTTTCCACCCACTCAGCGTGGGCACAGACGTCATGTGAGAACAATTACACAGCATACTATTAAAATCCTTTAACTGTGTGCCCAAGTTTGAATTTACTGTGGATTTTTTCTGATCCACACAGGGCCAGACTAATACATTCAGAATAAAATATATAGATACACCCCACCAATATTTTGATAAATGTTTCTTAGGCCATAGGCCATCAGTGTTGCCAGATTAGGCGATTTTCAATCAGATTTTGTGGGTAAAATTGATTTGGGTGAGTGGGATAATTTGGGGATTTGGAGTCAGATCTACGTTTTTTGATTTAACCTATAAACACATTCCAAACAATTATTCATCATTATTGGTCATAGCAACGCTCCCCTGACCTTTCTCCATCACTGATTGGCTATTGTCATCTGTCAGGGTGTTCACCACTGCAGGGGTACGTCAGAGCGTCCGCCATATTGAATGAGCCAGAACTAAATCAAGGAAATGGACTGAACGTCATAAAGCACCGTTCTACGTGTTTTAAGTTAATGCCTGTCATTCACGCACACTAATATATTTGGAAAACAAACAGGCACCAAAGATACTAAGTTTTAAGGTGATTATTAAAAATGTAAAAATGTTTACTCCTTAAATGTTTAGGTTATAGGTAAGCACTAAACCAACATAGTTTGAGTGTTTACAACAACTAATGTGTGTAACAGTATTGTTGTGGTGATAAATATAGAAATATTCATATTTAACATGTTATCTGTGTCTGTATTCCAGATCCTGAAATACAATGTGTGGATTTTCTGAATAAAGAGAACTAACATCACATTTAACTGATTTTGATTAATCACATCAATGAATATATACAGTATATATAAAGTGTATATATATATATATATATATTTTTATTAC